AAAAAAAAAAAAAAAAAAAAAAAAAAAAAAAAATTGCAAACGAAAATTGAAAGCCGTTTTTACACTATGCTGCGAAAGTCCACTAATAATGCTCTTTCTTCTTTCACCTAATCCCTTCACCTTCTGCCTTAACAAATTGCAAAACTTTTTGAGGAACCTATACATGACTTGAAACGAAGAATAAATTAAAAAATGATGAAGGAAAAGGAAGGCTAATTGCTAATTATTTCTCTTTCATGTCTTCTATTTTAAAGAGTTTAGATTTTCTAACGCTCTTTAGAATTTATGGATTAGCTAAAACAACGTCCAAGCAAATCTAAAAACCAGATGCTCTACACAAGTGTATCATTTTAAATACCAGAATCAAAAACGAGCACATAAGAAAGCAAAAAACTGAAATAAAGATTTAAAAGTGCTTCCCCACTTTTTTCAACACCTTATTTTTTAACACACCTTCATTGAATCTCCATCCGTCCCTCATTATAACAGATGAAAATTAATGTACAACCGTAAGTCGGTTTACGGAAGGAACTATGTACATCTAAAGCAATCTCAGCCAAGACTAGATCAATATACAATTCATACTTTGACAATTTTCTTGTTGGACCAACTCTTCTTTGGATTCGGAACTACAGCTGTCAGGCACAGATACTGCTTCTTCAGTCTTCTCTTCAGGTATCGATACCGGAGCATTTGCTTTCCCAAGTTCACCTTCCTGAGTACTCTGCATAAAGCCAAAGGTTAAAAGTAAAAGAAAGCAAAAAAGAAACACATATTTCAAATGAGGTTGTTTTGTTTCAGCAATAAAATATTCTGCAAAGAAAATTTAAAAGATAATACTACTAACTGCCTTCTTCTCAATAAAATTTTTTCTTCTAAAACTCCTATCATCAAAGAACATAAAAAACCTGGACTACCCACCGTCTGCTGAATAGTATTGGTGGTATTTGACACTGAAACAGCAACGTTCTTTGATTGCATCACAGCTGGAGGAGGAGATCTGCCCTGTGTGGAATTGTTCTGTTGCGCAGTAAAGCTTGGAAGATCATTACACTCGAAAAATCCAGCAACTCGATGATCCTCACTAAGAATAGTTTCGATGGTTGCTAACAATTTCTAAAAATGTGAACTGTAATAAACAAAAGAGAAACTGCAAAAAAAAGCTGACAAAATAAATTTAAAAGTAGATTTGTAACATTAAAGTGTGATGAAGCGGAAGTGGTACCACATTTGTTAAGCACCTTTCCTTTCATAAAGTCCTCTGGCCTGTTTCAGCCCGTAAGACGAGTAAAAAAAAAACTTTATTCTTAGATAGCAGAAAATGCGAAACCCCTTCAATGTCTTCCAAACGATATGTTTCTTAGCAAAAGAAGTGAATAAACAATCAGGTAACAATGATAACTTATAATTTCTAAGTTATAAACATGCAAACAAATACAACAATACGTTAATACAGAAAAACTACAAAAAACTGCTAACCTCATCCTCTTCCGTGTCAACGTGACTGGGATTTTTCATGACCTCAGCAAAATACGACATTAACTTGAAACGCAAACGCAATATGCTTTGGACATCCTAAAAAACAGATCCATTGACAAAAATAAAATTTAAGAGTAGTTAAGCTGAAGAATATAATTTAAAAGATAAAAGACCTTAAGAACTTAAATCAAATAAAGAGTAGTATTGAACACAGTGACAATGTCTAAAAAAAAACTTACAGCAAAGCTGCCACGAAATGCAAGCCAGGGTTCGAAATTCAACACATATTCCTGAGGATTCCACAATGCATCATCATCTTCTTCATCAGACTTCGTTGAATTATCAGATATACTAATCTCGTCATCTGAAGAAA